AAAGAATACCAACACTCCATACGTAAATGAATAAATCTCAAATTAACATACTGATAAAAATTAGGGTTTGAATTTACTTGCAGCTGGGTAATCCTCTAACTATGAAAAAGCATTAACACATATAAAAACCAACACTAATTAATACTGGATACTTCTTTTTGTAGTAATGCATTAGATGACTGGCATCCACCGATTTAACTGTCCCACATACCATGTTTGAACTGAGACATATCTCTATAATTACAATTCTTACTAACAGTACATTTACCAAGTATGTCTGAGCTGTTGTTTGACAAAACACAAACATATTTGCCAAGTATGTCTCAGCTGTCTTTTGACAAAGCACAAACTAGAAGTTTTTTATGCTAACTTGTCGAAATAAGTTCTAATTCAAAAATCATCAAATTGTTCCGTACATTTTACCTTGGAACAGAGTGCTGATAACTCGAACAACCTAACCTCAATCAAACATAATCAATGTTATCACAGCTCGTTTCTAACTTCCTGGAATATGGTACAATTTGACTTTACAACTCCTACACTGTGATAAGAGCATTTCGTGCGACTAAAGCAAAACTGATACGGTAAAAACAATCCGGAATTGTGATAGATGATTTCTCAGTATTTGAGTACACTTTTCAGCTATGGCAGGTATATACTTCACACGCCACTATCCAATTTCGAACCTAACAATGAAACAAAGAAAAAACCTATTGGGATACGAGTTTTGTATAAATACTCCCAAATCCTATTAAGCTGAGCTTCGTCTGAAATTTTATGCAAAAACGTCCCATGTCCTATTCGAGTAGGCCCAAATAACACGCATTCCTCGACTTCATCCATGTATTCTTTCATCTGAAATTGAAATCCATAACATAGAAATATTTAATAACTTATTGCCATATTAGTTTATATATGCTAATGCAGAAACAGATAACCTTGATCTCAGTTACTGAAAAATTCAATAGGAATTATTGGAAATACTTTAAAATAGGATAATAACATTATGGAAAGGATAAAGACAAAATATGACGAGAAACTACCGTGAAAACCTTTCAAAAAAGTAGCAAATATCGACAAAAGAAATGGCCAAAAAACTGCGAAATTAAAGACAATCTTTGGAATGCATTCTCATTTATGCTGATAAGTTCAACAGTTCAACAGGGGGATTGAAAACTTCAAATTACCTTAATCATGACGGACACAAACCTCATTATTCAAAAACATTCACACAATTCTTATGACAGCCAATTTAAAGGCAGTTTTACTATGCGCAAATTACCTCAGCTAGATGAAATGCAATGACGGGGAAATCATCCTTAACTTTCCGCAGAAGCGGCAAAAACTTCCGTGCGTCATATTTTGGATCTCCGCTTATATCAATACCAATAATGACTCCATTTGTTGCCTTATCATCATTATATTTTCCTGAAAAAATAAACCACTCTTGCTATGAATGAGAGGAATGCATTTTT